TGGTTAGGAACTAATTAAGGGGCACAAAGATTGATTATGTTTTGTAAACATGAGTATACTAATTATCTTGATTTGATCACCATGTATTGTACACATGTATTAATATTCAATTCTGTACCCCACAAATATATTTAATCAATCAATCAATAAAAATAATAATGTATCATATAATATCCCTTATAAAGTTCTTATTAATTAAAATAATCTTAAGAAATACCTTCAAATTCATCTAATCATCTAATCATCTTAAATGCAAGAGGTTATAGTTTCTTTAATATATCCAGTTTACCCTAATTTTGGATGATTTGAGCGGGAAAGAATCTGATGAGCTTGACTGGTGTAATTTTCACTGAAATACCTAAAAAAGTTTAAGAAAAATAATGAAATGAACATAAGTCTTTCAAATATAAGATATCCAGAAGCAATTTAAAAAGCTAATGTCAAAAAAAAGCTACAAACATTCTAGTATTGCCACAATCATTCTCTTCTCCATCTCAGATCACTTCAGTGATTCACAAATGCTTCTGAGTCAGAATTTAATCCTGAGCTATCAGGCCTATTTAGTACAGAACATAGGCCCTTGGCAAGAACGTAAATAATTTTAGCAAAAAAATCATCTAAAAACAGACTTCCTACTTACTTAAAAAAAAGTCTAGAGTTCTTTTTATTTGTTTGTTCCATTTCTATGAAATAGTCAACGTATGACTGTCAGGATACTCTTCCTTTCACCTAGGCTGATTCTTTCTACTACAATTTAAGTCTGTATTGTTTAATGTCATTTTCAGTGCAATCAGAAGAATGTCAGTAATCTTCCTTTTGCACCAAAAAAGACTCCTTGATCAGTGGTATAACTAAAATACTGGCCATAAAACAAAGTACAAGTGTACTTCAAAAAGTTTGTAGAAAAATTGAATTAAAAGGTAATATGAATCCTTCCATAAACTTTTTGAAGACCCCTCATATCAGTAGGTACAGGAGAACTATATAAAGCTATCTATTTGTATGCTCATACATCCTAGGGAACAAATCCGTTCAACTTCAGGATCACCTCATATTGCACCGGTTCTCATACAAACACACTCGTGTACACGTGCAGATGAACGTGGACATGAAGATAAGTAG